AAAAGCGCCACCTACTGGAAGAGAATGAATGTTCGTTTTCAATAATCCAGTCTGTAGTTTTTGTGCGAAATGCGAAAATCCACCCACATAACCCCGTTTTAAATTAATTTAATAATTTTTACGTCTGACTCACCCCTGGTTTAAACGCTCAATTGTGAGGTTTATTATTTTATAATTGATTTTGTTTTTGTGAAAACCTGTCTCTCAACTGTAAATCTGATCATTTGGTCCCCCCCACAACATGAAAGAAAGCCATTATAACATGTACATGAAAAATGTAGAAACATTGGACACAACTATATGGGGCACCATTGTGCAGCAGCAAGCATCACAACAAAAAAGGAACCTCAAGTCTGATCTAGGAAAATGTGTGCAAATTTATAGGGCCCCATTCCTATATTTTGCCTGGGGCCCCCAATTCACTAAATTCGCCCCTGGTGTCATGTATTCGCTGAGTTCATTTTAGTGACGCATTTCTAAAAGCAGTTCGCGAAGACAGAGAAGACAGAACGCGCAACGTGTTTATTTTCTTTATTTTGCAAAAGCACAAAGTTTTGTTGTTATTGTGAGTGTACACAAATAAAAGTAGACGCTTAACAGTTTCGAATGATGTATAACACTTATTTGTGTGACAAACATCGACAGAGTAGGCTATGTTTAGTGTCTTTTACACTGATCTTAAAAAAAAGTAAGCCGGCGCGACCGTCGACCCCAGGGAGCAACACTAAACTTCTGCTGTCACCTCTATATCCACACTCTTCTAAAAAGTGCTACAAAATGCCTTGTTAAAAGTCATGGTGTCACCATACGGTGACGTGGTGTGATTTTGATGGCATCTTTTGCTTCTCTTTTCTGTAATCCCCACTGTTGCTGCCAAATTCAACATTGAAGAATTCATTGCCGAAACACACAAAACCACTAATAGCATGGGAAAACTACCGAAGACTCATTCATAATTGATGCTGTCCAGCTTTAGGAATACATTAGAAATGGAGTCCCTGATAAAAATTGGGAAATTCTATCAAGATGGATGTAGGGTCCCTATTACAACATCAAAATGTTATGGTAGCGCTGTTCTATCTATTTTTGTCATAGAGAACACAGAGCAAGCTTGCAACTGGCAAAACCCACAAGCATAATCTTCTACTAAATTCCACAAAGTATGTAGGGGGAACGTCTGTCCTGCGGCCACTTATCGGATGTGTGAGGCTGAGTGAAAACAGGTTGGGGGGGGGGGGGCAAAACGTCAGGGATTCAGAGTATGATCATAAAAAAATGCCCTGAGAGTGCAATCGTGCTCCAAGGCTTTTTTCACAATCAATGTGATGTGTGCAACCATGTGAGTCACAGAGAGCATTGCGGCAACCCAAGGCAGGCTCAACAGCCACTGTGATGTGAGATTTAGGTCAGGCAGTCAAAAGACAAGAAAGAAAGTAGCGCATGCATTGAGAGTGTGTATCTACACAGGGGTTGATGTCATACTGTGAACTGTCGCTTACTTATTCATTCCCTAATCTCCCTAATGCATTAGAGCTGATTTAATCAGGTGAAATATATACCACTCACATTTCCCTGTATATTCCAGATATTTTTAACATGACTGGCTTTAAATTTAAGGGGAAAAGCAAACAATTTCAGACAGCATGGCAGCAACCTGCTCATGTATCTTGTCAATGTGACTTCTGCTTTTTACACAAATGATGATGAAAATACCTCAACTTCTGGGAAAACCTTTGTAAACTCTCTCAGCATGTGAGCCAGCAATATATGTACAAAACTCTAATTCAGACACTGTGACAACACTACAGCTTCTGTTTCTCCTTAAGCTTCATCTACAAATGGCACATATAGAATCTTGTAGAATTTCAAACTCTTGAATCAGTGGTGCTATTATGAAATATCAGCACAAAACCCAAACATCTGATTACCAGAATGTTCATTTTGAAATCAGAGTCTGTAAAATAAATGTTAAAAAAATCATACATACATAAACTATGCTCTATACTTAAATTTATAGAGTTTATTAGATTTTTTTTTTTTTTTTTTTTTTTTTTTGTGCATATAATACAAATTCAACAGCTAATGGGCAATGCACAATCTTATTTAACAATAAGTTTGAATTCACAAGGATTTTCATTTTGCTCCAGCTGAGCTAAATTGAATAGGAGTCAAAAATGAAAGTAACTGTTGTCAGGTTAATAGTTTCTACTTAATCTGTTATGCTTAATTACCCATGACGATGTCTGTTGTTTTTCCAAATGTGCTCCCTTTCCTCCCATACATCGATTATTCCCTGCTGCTTCTTTATCACTTTAACATGAATCACAAAAATGATGCTTTGAAGAGAGTGATTACATACTGCATAAGGTAAACAAAGACATATGGTTGCTGCAATCAGTACAAACAGTGCCAACTGGCAGAAACTTCCTCTAAAGTGTGAGGTTTTTGGACACAGGAAATTAATTTTCTGATACACATAGTGCAAGAAAAATCCAGTTTTGGGCTTGTAGGGGATTTGTTAACTGCTTTAGAAACCCTTAAAGAAATAATCACTACGAAATAAGTTACATTTACATTTTCCTGTGTCACTTGCTCAGTACAGTAGCAACGGAGCTTTCTCCCTCAACCAACCCAAACACTGTTTCCCATCCCTTTCTGCTTGTTCCCCAGTTACCTTCTCCCCAGTTTCCAAACACTCACCAGCCCAGAGGCGAAGAAAACAGCCAACAGAGCCAGGCAGGCACCCATCACAATGAGGAGCAGAAAAACAATAAGTGGGTGCTGCTGGCTCATACGATAGTACGAATCATACAGCCAGTCTGGGGACCTCTGTCTCCGGCCACGCACACCTCCTCCTCCTGTTACATCTCCTCCTGTCCGGGAGCCCCTCTCCAGCAAGTAGCTCCTCTTACGCATGGCCTCCCTCCACATGGAGCTGGCGTTGTGTTCCTCTCTGTTCGGCAGTGGCTGGGGTTTGTGAGGGTCGCGCTCCTCTTCACACAGGTCCTTCAAATGGAGCACTGATGCTCGGGTTGTGGTGCGCGGCCGGTACACCGGCAGGATGGCTTCCACTGTGGTGCGCAGCATTGCTCAGGCAACATATTGAACTGCAGACTGTCAGAGTGAGAGTGAAAGGAAGCAGTGTGTGTGTGCGAGTATGTATGTGCGAGGGAGAGAAAGAGAGAGAAAAGGGGGAGAGGGAGGGTCTGGGTTGAGGCAAGCAGTGAGGGAGAAAGCAAATGTGAGTGAGAAAGACAGAGAGAAAGGCCAGACAGAAAGGGATGGAGGGGTGGGAAGCGTTTCCTGTCAAGATGATGCGTCAGGTTTTGTTGGAACATCAAAAAATTGTCATCATATACTGATCCTTAAGATGTTTCAGCCCTGCATTATTTTCTTTCCTCTGTGAAAGGTAGAAGCTTTCATTTTCCATACAAGGAAACGGTTTGTCGTTTATACCACCAAGCTCAAAAAAGCACCATAATAGTATCATAAACATAGTCTGTCCTTCCCTTGTGCTGGAACTTTCAAATCTCATTTTTGCTGTTGTGTTTGTCACGGTCACGTAGCACACAAAAGGTGTCAGCAATGTCACACCTGGCACAATATGTCTAAAGATACTTTTTGGGGGGGATTTTAATTGAACAAAACCACAATGCGATTTATAATCCCTGCATTCTCATGGGACCCAATTAAATTTATTATGGTGCAGGATTCATTTTGAGATGAAGATGGAATTGGGCAGTACTTCTTTGATTTGTAGGCAGGAAATATGTACATGTTTTAAAACAACACACAGACAGTATACAGTAGCATTATAAAGCATGCAGCCATGCACACAGTAAATGTGCATCAAATAAGACAAAGAGAAAGTGGTCCATTAGGGCAATGACACAGCAAAATGTGGCCACGTATAGTCTTCCAGGAGCTGGAATAAAAATAAATAAATACACTGAATATGAAAATTTGGGAGAGTAATTTTGTGCCGATTTGTTTTGATACCATGAGGCACCACTCACTCAATGGCTGCAGATTTCTGGAGGCAATGTAGATTTGCAAGTGAGAGGAAGTAGGAGGGTAGAGAGACAGTGGATGGTCTGTACACAAGCATCTGTGACTTGAACTTGAGCCACCTCCAGCCAGTGAAGCAAGACAAAGAGAGGTGTAATAAACACTCTTGGGTTAGTTAAAGAACTTACCAACATAATTCTGGATCATTTGCAAAGATTTTCTTCCTGCATACATTAAGGCAGGGGCATATTGTAATATAGTAAAGGTCTGATTTTCTTGGCAGTGGTAGGAAAATCCTTGTGACTGGATGAAAGGGTCCCAACAATGCTGG